CTAATATAAAAGCAATGTCCGGTCAAATTATTGTTGTTGGTGGAGGACTTTCCGGCCTTTCTGCTGCTCACACGGTCTTAGAGCGTGGTGGAAATGTTGTGGTTATTGATAAGAACTCTTTCTTTGGCGGCAACTCAACTAAAGCCACGTCTGGTATTAACGGTGCTTTGACCAAAACCCAGATAGGTGAGTAAAGCAAAAGGAAAAAAAAAAAAATTGCAATCAAATACCGTCGCCTAGTGCAGACTTTCGAGACAAGGCGTTCGTAAGCAATGTTCATCTAACATCAAGTATTAACGCGAAGCGCTCTTGATTAATAGCCCTCGGCGTTCAAGATTCCGCTGAAATTTTTGCTCAAGATACTACACGATCTGCTCGTGATCTTGCTCGCCCTGATCTTATAAAAGTTCTTACTGGAAATTCTGCTTCTGCAGTCGAATGGCTTCAAGAAAAATTCAAATTAGACCTTTCTCTTGTATCTCGATTGGGTGGTCATTCTCAGCCGCGTACTCATCGTGGAAAGGAAATGTTCCCGGGTATGACGATAACCTATGCTTTAATGGAAGGTATCGAAGAGATTGCTAAAAAACAACCTGATCGAGTCCGACTCATCAAGAAGGCACGTGCTACAAAATTAATTAAGGAAGGCGAGACTGTCGTGGGCGTGGAATATGTCAAAGATGGCCAAACTTTCAAGGAATATGGTCCTGTGGTTTTGGCTACTGGTGGTTATGCAGCTGATTTCACGGAGGACTCTTTAATTAAAAAGTACCGTCCAGATATATACCATTTACCCACTACCAACGGTGATCATTCTACAGGTGATGGACACAAAATGATTATGTCCATTGGAGGAAAGGCTACTCATATGGAAAAAGTTCAAGTCCATCCAACAGGGTTGGTTGACCCGAAGGAGCCTAATGCAAAAATCAAATTTTTGGCCGCTGAAGCGCTTCGGGGTGTTGGTGGATTGTTATTAAATGGTGAAGGAAAACGATTTTGTGATGAATTAGGTCATCGTGATTACGTTACTGGTGAAATTTGGAAAACCAAGGGACCTATCCGTCTCGTTCTTAATAGCAAAGCTTCAAAAGAAATTGAATGGCATTGTAAGCATTATGTTGGTCGTGGTTTGATGAGAAAATTTTCTGGTGAAGCGTTGGCAAGGGAAATCGGTATTCCCGTACACCAGCTAGAAGCAACATTTAATGAATATAATGAGATTGCTTCTAATAGGAAAAAAGATCCTTATGGCAAGAAATTTTTCCATAACACTCCAATCTCGATAAATGATCAATTTCATGTAGCCTTGATGTCTCCCGTATTACATTATACTATGGTATGATTGATATTATTTATATTATATTCCTAACTACCTATTCATAAGTTATATGATTCACCATCGTTCTTTGTAGGGTGGAGTCGACATAAATGCAGATTCTGAAGTCAGAAATGAGCAAGGAAACGTTATTCCGGGACTATATGCCTCTGGGGAATTAGCTGGTGGTGTTCATGGTGCTAACAGGTATTATTATTTTGATTATTTAGTATTATTATTTTGATTATTTAGTATTATTATTTTGATTGTTTAATATTAATATTTTAAAAATTCAACTTCTACTAATCACAATAAATAGGTTGGGAGGATCTTCTCTTTTGGGTTGTGTAGTCTATGGTCGTGTTGCCGGCGATTCCGCATCCCGTTATCTATTCCAGAATTTGTCATGTGCAACTGCCAATCGTCGTCTAGAGCAAATTACTGGACAATTGGCTCCATATCAAGCAACCGTTTCTGTTGACCCTGCAAGTCAAAAAGTGAACTTGGAAATTTCTTGGGGTCAACAAAAAGATGCTATAAGTCAGTATACTCCAGCTCAAACTTCTCAAGCTTCACCAAGCCAAGCACCGGCTCCAGAGAAGAAAGCTGAGGTACCACGTGAGAAGAAGGAATATACCGCTGAAGATGTTGCTAAACATAATAAAGAAAACGGTTAGTATTATATTACGAGTCCTTTAGGATAATTTCAACTTATTATTGATAATTAATAAATTCATTATTTTATATATAAATCTTTTGGCGCAAAACCTTTTTTATTGGATCTTTCACAACGTGAGCGTTTTAATTATTTTTTTTCAATATTCTTTTTGATTGGATTCACTCTTCTAATCATGCTCGCCTTTTCTTGTTTGGTCAATAGCCAGACTGTTGGGTAATAGTTAATGGTGAAGTTTTAAACGTCACCAATTTTCTTCCAGGTAAATCTCGTTAGAATTTGATGTCTCGTTTGTCTTTAAGTAACTATATATTAACACATTCTGTTATATCAATTTAGATCACCCTGGTGGTAAAAAAGCCATTCTAATTTATGCTGGAAAGGATGCTACTGAAGAGGTGAAAAATCATTTTCTTTGATTTATTCATTTTTAAAGAAAACCATAATTAATTTAATTATTTTTATAGTTCAATATGTTGCATGAAAAAAATGTAGTGCAGAAGTATTCACCAGAAGTAAGTACAAACTTTTTAATTTACAACATCTATAATTTCTATTTACATTTTCTTTTTTCATTTTGCATTAAAAAGTCCATAATCGGAACCTTGAAGAAGTAATGGAATTTAACCGCAAGAGCCATATGGTTTTACATTTAAAAAATACTTAGCTTAATGTTTTTCTTTTTTTAAACTTTACATATGATGTTTGACAAATGAGTATGTTGAATTATTAACAATTTATATTGATATTTATTATTATTTACTGCGAGTAATAAAAACTATTCAGTATGTAAAACTATTCAGAACTATGTTAATAAATTACTTTTATACTTGATTTGATACACAAAACCAAATTTAACAATGTGGAGAAAATATTTTTTGATGCAATTAATTCCGTTCAAATACATTACGATCAAGAGAGATTACTTATAATCTGCGCTTATATGCTATATAATAATAAATTTTGAATTCATTTGAAGTGCTAGAAACTGTTTTATAATCAAGAAAAAAAAACTCTTTAATTTGTGCTACGTGACTTGCCTGCCTCTTCAATAAGGTTTGCGCTTATCGTATTTACATTTTAGCAACGTTAACAAGATCGAATATTTATACACCATCATACAATTTTAATTGATTTTTGATTATTTTATTTTTCTACACTTTACATTTTTTTATTAAATGAAAATAACTATTTTTTATTAAAAAATCTATCTATATTAACGAAAAAAATAAACTTTTTAAAAAAATAATAATGCTTTAAAGACTTTCGACACTAATTAATAATAAAAAAATTGTTAATAATAATTATTAAGTAAATATTTTTAATTTTCAGTATACAAAGTTTCCTTTACGAA